GATAGGATAGGATAGGATAGGATAGGATAGGATAGGATAGGATAGGAGTATAGAATGGAATGGAATGGAATAATGGAACAGAACAGGAAAGAATAGCATAGGGTAGAGTAGAATAGAAAAGAATAGAATAGAATAGAATAGAATAGAATAGAATAGAATAGAATAGAATAGAATAGAATAGAATAGAATAACAGAGTTGGAAGGGACCTTGGAGATCTTCTAGTCCAACCCCCTGCTTAGGCAGGAAACCCTATAACCACTTCAGACAAATGGTTATTCAATCTCTTCTTTAAAACTTCCAGTGTTGGAGCATTTACAACTTCCAGTGGCAAGTCGTTCCATTGATTAATTGTTCTAACTGTCAGGAAATTTCTCCTTAGTTCTAGGCTGGTGATGATGTAGTGTGGACTTCAATTCCTAGAATTCCCCTACCAGCATAGATGGATAGCTGGGGAATTCTGGGAGTTGAAGTTCACTCCTCTTGAAGTTGTCAAAATTGAGAAAGGCTGATTTAGATGTTTAGGTTATCTTTCTATATCTCTGAAATTCAGGGATAAATAGCCATCCGTATGAGCTCAAAAATGCTTCTACAGATAAGTGTAAAGCTTTAGCAGATGTCAGAAAAAAACACCAAGTTGCAGAAATACATGAATAATTTTTAAAAGGAGGACTCCAAAATTGCCCTGTGAGGCCTAATACCCTCAGTGGGGGAGACAAACAGATTTATTTTTACTCACAGGTGGTCCTCGAATTACAACAGTTCCTTTACTGACCGTTTGAAGTTACAACGGCACTGAAAATAAGTGACTTGTAGCCATTTTTCACACTTATGGCCATCCCCATGGTCACGTGATTAAAACTCAGACACTTGACAATTGACTCAGATTTATGACCATCACAGTGTCCCGGGGTCATGTGATCTTCTTTCCTGACCTCCTGACGACCACAATCAACAGAGAAGCCAGATTCACTTAACAACAGTGTTACTAACTTAACAATTGAAGTGATTCACTTAACAACTGCAACAGGAAAGGTCGTAAATTGGAACGCTTAACAACTTTCTCCCTCAGCCACAGAAATTTTGGGGTCAATTGTGCTCATAAGTCGAAAACCACCTATGTCAACTTTACATGCCATTCAACCCCCAGTTGCGAGGTGACACCGAACAGCTTACAACATAATAAAACTTATGGAAATAAAAGCCATTATAAATTCAACACTAGATTAAATTACAAGAGATTAAAATGGCTTTTTTTAAAAAAGCATCCCATAGTGGAGTGGTGGAGTGGCTTTTCTGTTACTACACCAGCAGAGATCGTGTAGATAAGAGAGTGGTTGTAAGAGAAGAGTAAATTGGCCTTCCGTTCTTCAAAACACTGCTTTAAATTTATGAGAAAAAAATTGATAATGAGAAGATTCAAAGGATGCAAAGACTTACAAAGAAAGGTTTAACTATTATATCTGTGTGTCCCTCTCCTTTGTGGTTTTTAATTTCATTTTTCCTACTTTTTCAATAAACACACACACACACACGGAAAGGCACTATTGTAAATAAAACCAGCGGTAATTGTCTGAATAGACAATTAGATAAAGATATTTTCCTGGATAAAGACCATGACACATCAATAATAATGATGATGATAATTTTGCAAAATACATCAAGAATGTGCAGCTTCCTGCAATAACATCAGTAGAACTGCAAAAATGCTGCATCACTACTCAGAACAGTGTACATTTTAAGAAGATACTTGGTTGACATACCTAGGAGGCTAGTAGCAACCCATATCCTCCATCAAAGCCAGTCATTGTGATATTTGTGATACATTTTTAAATGTTCAGTTGACTGAGTTTCATGTTTAATGAATAAACATTTATAAGAATAACAACAGCAGTAACAATCAATTGAAGATAGCCTTAATATGTATTTCTGCCTTCCTCGTTCCTGAAAAAGGACCATAAAAATGATTTTAAAAAATTTAATCTTGATCATAAAAATTCCAAAGGAATAGAAGGTTAGAAATTTGTAGTTACAGCCTCTCAGATTGGAAGGGGAAAAAATAATGTCTTGATTATCCAAAGAGGAGAGCATTGTTCAATTAAGAGAACCTTCATTTAATCCAAGATTTTGTTTTTTTTTATTTTCCTATATTTCAGCAGGAAAGTCCAGTACTTTTTTTCCCGAAGACAGTTTTATAGAAACCGGGGAGATTGATGTCGGCAGACGAGTCACACAGAAGATCCCTCCCAGCATATTTTGGAGATCTCAGGTGTACATCGACCATCCTGTACATTTGAAATTTAATGTTTCATTGGGAAAATCAGCTCTGGTTGGGATTTATGGACGAAAAGGACTCCCACCTTCGCACACCCAGGTGAGGCGGACTCTGAGGAGATACAAATAAAACTAGAATGATTACAACTCATGCTTTGAACGTAGGATGCAATAAAGGTAGTCCTTGACCGGCAGCCTGGGCAAAAGATTTCTCTCTCATCACAGGCTAACAAGTATGTTCAGATGGAAGATGAATAGTTGTCTGTCACACTTATTCATCTCTAGCCCCTGCCTTTTATCCCCAGAGCTAGGGTGGGGCTTCACTAGCAGCTATGGCTCTTCCGTCCCAAGGATCGGCCCATAGATTTCCACTGCTCTCCTCTCCTCTGCCTTCTGTGCATCTGCGCGTCAGGCACTGGGCCCAGCTGTTCCTCCTCTTCCTCATCAGCCACCTCCACACCTGGGGGCTGTTGACTCTCCATCTGAGGGCTGACAGACGGCCCAGGCTCCGCTTCTGTCTCTCTCTCTCTCTCTCTCTGCCAGCTCTATTCCCTCTTTCCCCTCGGAGATGTCAGGTTGCCCTGATGCTGAGCCTGATTCCCACACCTCCTCCTCCCCATCTGATTCAGTTGCTGGAGGAGCCAGTGGCCAACAAGCCATAACAATCCGTTTAGTGACCATTCAAAGCTTCAAGAAGCACGGCAAAGAATAACTTATGACTGTTTTTCCACACATACGATCGTTGCAGCATCTCCATGGTCACGTGATCGAAATTTGGATGCTTGGCCACTGGCTCATATTTATGACGGTTGCAGGATCTCCCAGGGTCATGTGATCCCCTTTTGCGTCCTTCTAACAAACAGAGTTAATGGGGAAGATTCTCTTAACAATCATGCTACTAACTTAACAATTACCGCGATTTACCTAAGATCACTGGCAAGAAAGGTTGTAAAACGGGGCAAAACTAACTTAACAAGGTCTCACTTAGTGACAGAAATGTTGGACTCAATGGTGGTCGCAAGTCGAGTACTGCTGAGTTTCGTTTTCTACTATCTCTTAAGATTTTAGAGGAAGCTGGGGATCACACAGTAAATCAAGCTAAGGCAAGATTTTAGATCATTCTGAAGGGATCCTAAAGTGGCTCTTCATGGCTGTAGAGTTTGGGTGCCACCACTGAGAAGGCCCCGTCCAGTCTTCCCTTCAGTGTTTCAGATGACAACAGGAAATAGAAGAGGCCATTTTTCAAGTGTGGGGACACTTGTACTAATCTGAGGCATATTTTGTAGATTTTTAATTTCTGTCTTACACATTTGCAGGTAGTCCTCGACTTGCGACTATAAAGGAGCGTGTCTGTTATGGTTGTAAGTCATGACAGTCGTAAAGTGGGTCACCCATGTGATCTACCTGATTATACATCTGTTGCAGCCATCGTTAACTGGTGATCGTTTAACGAATACAGTCCTTAAGTGAACACGATAGTCATTGAATGAACCCATTGTAGAATAGAATAGAATTCTTTTATTGGCCAAGTGTGATTGGACACACAAGGAATTTGTCTCTGGTGCAAATGCTCTCAGTGTGCATAAAAGAAAAGATACATTCATCAACAGTCAAGAATCATCTGGTACAACACTTAAACATCTTGTTTACTGGGATTCAAAACTTTTTACTACCGGTTCTGTGGGTGTAGCTTGGTGGGCATGGCAGGGGAAGGATATTGCAAAATCCTCATTCCCTCCCCACCCCACTAACCTGCTTTCCAGCTCCATTCTCCTGTGTAGGGCAACCAAAGAAGACCGAGACGATCAGCTGGGACTCAGTGGGGAGGCGGAGAATAGATGGGGGCGGGGCCAGTCAGAGGTGGGATTTGCCGGTTCTCTGAACTGCTCAAAATTTCCGCTACCGGTTCTCCAGAACTGGTCCAAACCTGCCGAATACCACCTCTGCTATGGACCGATTCGGCTAAAAACTGGAAGTAAATTCCAGGGGTTTTGGTGGCCCTAAATAACTTTTTTTTTTTCAGTGCTGTTGTAACTTCGAATGGTTGCTAAACCTAATTATCATGAAGTCAAGGATTATCTCTAAGCAGGACCTGAAATTATTTGGGTGGGCCTCCATTTCAACACCCGTGTTCTTCCCATTTTTGTGTGCGTTTCAGTTTGACTTTGTTGAGCTTCTGGACGGACGGAGGCTGCTAAGTCAGGAAGCCAGGAATCTAGAAGGACCCCAGCGACAGCCAAAGGGATTTGTGCCGCCAGCCAGCCATGAAACAGGATTTATTCAGTATCTGGATTCTGGAATGTGGCACCTGGCCTTTTACAACGATGGAAAAGAATCCGAGTTGGTCTCCTTTCTCACCACCACTATTGGTAAGGGCATCTTGCATTTCACTGATAGAAGGGAATATCTGTAGCTCCGTGTTGAACTGGGGGACCCTTGGTGCTAACTAACAACACTGATGAAGTTACCTAGTTGGGTAATGAAATGTCTGCAATAAAAACACCAAGTTCAGAGAGCACCAAGGACTCCACAATTGCCATCTTCCTCCTCCTCCTCTCCACTTCCTTCTAGCATTGATGCTGTTACCTAGTTTTGTAATGAAATGTCTGCAAGAAAACACCAAGCTTGGAGCACATCAAGGACCCCACAGTTCTCCTTCTCCTCTTCCCTCCATCATCTGTCTTCTCCTCCTCCTCCTCCATCATCTGCCTTTTCCTCCTCCTCTTCCCTCCATCATCTGCCTTCTCTTCCTCCTCCTCCCTCCATCCTCCGCTCCTCCATCTCTCTCCATCAACTGTCTTTCATTCTCTTCCTCCTCCATATTCCACTCCACAAAATCCACCCGTAGCATTAATGATGTTACCTAATCGGGTAGTAAAAAGTCTGCATGAAAAGAACTAAACTCAGAGAATACAAAGGACCCCACAGTTCTCCTCCCACCCCCTCTCCCACTTCCTTCTAGCCCAGATGCAATTATCTATTTTTGTAATGAAATGTCTGCAAGAAAACCACCAAGCTCAGAGAGCACCAAGGACCTCACATCTATGCTTTTTAGCTGGCTCAATGAACCAGATCCTAACTCTTGTCCTGCCCTTAGGTGCTTTGGAGCGGGGGTCCCCAACCACCGGGCCGCAGACCGGTCCCGGTCCGTGGAACATTTCCTACCGGGCCTCCGGTTTGCTGGGTGCCGCCATCTTGTTTGACAAGAAAGTGCTTCCGGGTGAGCTTTTCTGGTTGGAAAGCGGCGTTTGGGTCCTGAAGGAATCCTCGCGCCTTATTTTCATCGAAGGGGGGGGGGGGCTTCGAATGAAATTAAGGCGCAAGGATTCTTTCAGCACCCAAGGCAAGGCGAGCCGAGCGACCATCCCGAAGCGAAGCCCATCAACAAAGGTACAAAGGAGGAGTTGAAGGTGGCGGGGAGAAGCGGGGGACGGCTGGCTGGCCGGTCGCTCAGCTCGCCTTGCCTTGTCATGCGTGCTGATGCCGGTATCGGGCCGCGGATCATTTTGTGATGCCGGTACCGGGCCGTGGCACAAAAAAGGTTGGGGGCCACTGCTTTGGAGAATAGGTTGAATCCCCATCAGAAGACTGCTATCATATCGTCCCTAGTCCTTCTTTTCATTAGACTAGACATACCTAGTTCATACAACATACAGTAACCTACAACATGAACATAGTTCGTGATAATATAACAGTAAATTTAATATGTTCGTGCAACTTAACAGGACCAAAAGCTAGCTTTTCGTAACTTTCCGTAAACCTCGGCCTATCCAATTGTATAATAGATTAATTGCATGATTTCTTAAACTTGTCCACTTCCAGAGATGTGGACTTCACGTTCCAGAATTACACAACTTGATGAGAATTCTGGGAGTTGAAGTCCATGACTCTGAAGTTACCGGGGTTAGAAAACACACTGGAGTCTCATTTTGCAGGAAACCGACAAGTTTGTCGAGTCAGTTTTTGGTAAAATGTTCTTTGTTTACTCTTTTTATATGCTCTCCGACTTTGACACGCTTAAGGTGAATAATGTCATAACACAGTTCGTGTGTTGCAGCCAAAGAAGCACAAACGTGATCTTGTGGGGGATGAAAGGAAGTATCTTAATTGAACATTTAATACCAAATAATATGGACTGCATTTTCTTTTTCTTTTACCAACTTTAACATTGTTTTTATTAGATTATAAAACAGCATAGAAAAGCAAATAGGAAAACACATTTTCAAAATGGCTGCTTCTCCAAACCATCCTTCTCTTTCTGATAAATCTATCCATGCCGGACACTTTTCAGTTTGAAGGGTTAAATTTCAGTTGGATAGACCATACTGTTCTGGGAATGGATGACACTGAAATAGGGTGTCTTCTTTTGGCTATCTAGGAATTCACATTTAATCCAATAATTTCTTAGAGTTGCAATATGACGGGGTTTGGCCAACCGTCTCAGTGGTCAGTTTTCTTTTTCACTTGATTGAAACCTGAGTATGTTGTTATTGGAAGAACCCTCATTTGATTCTTCTGTTCATTTCGACATAAGCTATTTCTTTTCAAACAAACAGCAGGGGACTCTCATTACAATCACGTTGGTTAACCCTCTCTACAACTGCCTTATATTTCAACTATGTTTAATATCTCTTAATCCACCTCGCTTGTAAATCACAGACTCTTGTATAAAAATTTACACATATAATGTGCCCAACTATGGGGATTGTTTAATGGTCTATTTTTTTTCCCCTGGATTGCAAAATGATGCTTCGTTGTGAGACTGATATTTCTCCTTCTTCCCTAAACAGCTTTAGTGTTGCATCTCAGCTGTATTCAATAACAACCTGAGAGCCATTGGCTGTAATTCGTCTTGGCAGGTTAATTAAAAGTTTAGTTCTTATTAAAGCAAAGTCATTAAGGGATGCAGTTTAGCATTTATTTATTCATTTATTACATACCCTGAGAGTTGATTTAATCTCTGGTTGAAATGCATCGGTAGGTAACCCTTGACTTACAGCCATTTGTTTAGTGACAATTCAGGGTTACAGCGGCCCTGATCAGAGTGACTTCTGGCCATTGTTCACAATTACTGTTACACGATCAAAATGTGGACATTGTTAAAGGTTGCAAAATTTGTATGCCATGATAGTTGCAGTGTCCTGGGGTCATATGAACCGAAGGGGAGGCCAAATTCACTTAACAACCACATTACTAACTTTGCATTTGCGGTGATTCTCCTAACAGCTATGGCAAGGAAGGTCATAAAATAGGGCAAAACTCACTTAACAGTTATTCCTGCTTAACAATGGAAAATTGGGGTTTAGTTGTGGTTGTAAATCAAGGACTACCTATTCTACTTTTGGGCTGAAATGTTTGATTCTTTCCTGTTCCATCAACATGCTTCATATCCTTGAAGTTGAATTACGTCAAAAAGCACCACATTGTAATCTAATCTCATGCACGTCCCTTGTAGTAGACAGATGAGAGGTTGTTTCTTTATAGCAATTCTTCCAAAAGTTTCTCTTGTACTCATTGTTGTTGAATACACTTTGCCTTGTGGTTTGCACTTTTTCTATTAAAGCCACGTTTCCCAACCTTGGCAAAATTTAAGAGGAGTGGACTTCAACTCCCAGAATTCTCAGCAATGCTGGCTGTGGAATTCTGGGAGTTGGAGTCCATATACCTGGAAATTGTTGAGGTGAGAGATCCCTATTTTGAAGACATGGGTGTTGTTCCATGCTGAACAATAAAATAAAAAATGTTTGGCCTATCTCTGACTCGTGGGTGAAACTACCACGTTATGCACCACTTAAACCAGTCTCAGCTTTAGCAAGTTTAAGATGGGTGGACTTCAGTACCCAGAATTCCTCAGCCACCTATGCTGAGGAAATTCATACTCTGATTTGCCAGAATGAGGAATGTCACTAGAGATATTTTGGTGGATTTTATTAGAATAAAGACAAGAAATCAAGTCCTGAGCATTTTAACACAAAATTGAAGATGGATAATACAGATATAACTGTTCCGAAAGAGATTGCTATGAGAATTCTGCATAAGAGTTCCCTTTGATCTGTTTGATAATTTAGAGTTGAGATAGATAGATAGATAAGGTAGGTAGGTAGGTAGGTAGATAGATAGATAGATAGATAGATAGATAGATAGATAGATAGATAGATAGATAGATAGATAGATAGATAGATAGATAGATA